TTAGTGTAACTGCCACTCAGTATAATCTCCAAATACATTCTGCTTAGTCACTAAGAGGAAGTACTACTGCTATCATTTGTAGACAGTGCCTAAAAGAGTGATAGATCCTTTAGAGAACAGTCGCAAACACTGAGTCTTCTTGAAGAGCAAATGGTACAAGGTGTGACAACCTGACAAGTATTATCTACATAATAAAATGTCTAAGCATGTGATAAGAGTGAAGAGCAAGGAATAATGACAATTTTGAGAGAGGCCCAAAAAGCAGTACAAATTGTTAAAACAAAAGAAAGGAGTGGTGATGAAGAATATTAGGAGGGAGCAGAGAATGAGGTAGTAGGAAGAGAAGAGGACAGACCAGGGCGGGGCAAGGGGTAGGTATCTTCCTTGACTATATATATTTATATAACTTCCACTATCATTTATTTTATACTGCATAAAGTTATTACTTTTAAACTCACCTTGAACATATTGTATTTTATAATGCATAGAAACAAAAGCAAAATGACGAGTGGTGTAGCAACAAACTGTTCTAATCAGAATTCCAAATTCAGACAAAAGGCAGTGCAAAATTAGGGAAGCATAACTAACAGTGCCTGGAGTCCTAGTTTACTATTTAGTCAAAAGCAAATCTTTTTGCCTGACCCTATAAACTTAGGAATTCCTATATTTATCTCTATTTTCAAAAAGCAAAATCAATTCATCCCTCCAGCCCTAAAATCCAAATCCTAAATATATAATGCTTTTAAAACAGTGTAAATCTGAGTTTATTATTTATAAAGCAGGATAATTATTTTAAAAATAGCACAATAGCTTTGTGAGGCTGATATTTACACTGCTGTGACTCACAGCCATCCCTCTATTGCTTCCTCTTTCCCAAGTGAGCCTCCTGCCCCACATCTCACTCTCTCAGAGTGCCATACAGAGCCCACACATTCCAGCTTCCTTAAGGTTTCCTTGTCAGAGATTTTGCTTCAGTCAGTGTGGCTACCCAATTTTTACCATGTCTGTGCAATCAGTGACACAGCAACTGAGCACACACAGGCCTGTAGTCAGTTGTACCTTCCTAAAACTCACTCTGGACTTGACAGTGGTGGCTAACAGAGAGCCACCATTCTCTAGCACACCCACCGTGTTTCCACACGTCTTCTCCCCTTGGGTAAATCAGATGACAATGGCACAGACACATTTAAAAGAGGTGTTTTATAGAGACATCATGGTAAACCTGTGATGCTTTGCAAATACATGAAAAGTTGGATGATTTCATAATGAAATTTCTCTTGGAAAAATTTCGTCTTCTACTGGGTCAAACTGTCCATGCCCATGAAAAGCTGAAATGCATGTCTTTTCAGAGCTGTGAGTCTGACTTTGGAAGGAGAGCATTTTATCTTTAGAATTGCTAGGCAAAGGAGCTGGAAACTCATGATACTGCAAGTAGAAAAGTGTATATGCAGATCACACAGGCTGAAACAGAAATCTTTATAAATAATGGCAGCATCCTAACATCTCTTAATTTTTTTTTCTCTGTGCATCCTCTCAATACAGTTCTTTGATATAGAAACAAAGAATAAATGAAAAGTAAAAAGGCACAAGACTGATCCCATAAATCAATCCATATGCAGGAAATGTGCTGTCTAAAATCTGTTACAAAGCTTACACACACAAAACTAGATTTTATAAGAGGAGGGATGTGCATAATGTGAAGGAAGAGTCATCATCAAAAGTTCTATGCTGTATCCAAGACAGTAAAAAATCCACAAAGATAAAAGTTGAAAATATGTAAATATTCTTAAAACAGCAGATAAATACTTACACCCAGAGTACAGACATAAATTTTCTGTCACATATTATGCATATCAAATATTATGCAAATTATACATTCAAAACCCTTGTCAAAAAGACACCTTCTTAGTACATGACATTCAAAATGCACACCAAGCGTCCCAAAAATTTCAGAAGAGAGATAGTCAAAGCATCAGAGTTTGCCACTCATCCTTTTTAAAGCAGAAGCTCCACCACAGGAACATAGTGCACAACTGTAGCTCAGCGTATTTCACAGACCAAACCAGGCCAAAGGAGAGAGCAAATCTGGAAAGCTTCTGCTTTCCATGCCATGATGTTCCAGCAAATCCTGGCAAGAATTCATGCTGACCTGATCACTATTAGTTGCTACAGACTACAACTCGATACCATCTGCATTTCCTTTCCCTAAAAACAGTAAAACAAACATAAGGAGAAGTTATGTATCTATTTTAAATCCACACATATTTACCCCAGGGAGCGAAAGGAAAAGAATAAATAGTCCACATTACAGATGTGAGTCACACTACTTAATGCTCTTTTGGAAAATGCTCAAATACCACAGTGATGGGCACAGTATAAGAGTTTGAAAGACACAAGATAGAAATAGAATTAAGAAAGGAAGCAGAGCCCAGGAACCAGTCATTCATACTGACACCCAATCACCACAAATAAAAAAAAATAAATTAGAGAGAAGACATGCTTGCTGCTTTCTTCAACATTTGAACAGTTCTTGTGCTAATATCTCTAAATGTCAACTCTTGTTTTCAGCAATTTTTTTATCCTGCTACATTTCTCCATGGAATTAAATGACACAATTTTATTGCTTAGACAGACAAAAATACCTTCCACTTCAAAAGGAGCTTGCCTTCGAGGAGAATTACACTTGAACAAAGACTGCAGGATTTAGCTCTATATTTATCTCTATGCAATAACAGCAGTTCATTCATATAAATATGGGGGGTTTCTTTCTTCTTCTTTCTCTTCTCTTGACAGAAGGAAAACATCTATCAAGAGAATTAAACTCAGAAATATCCACCTAAAGATGCAGAACAATCTCTGATAATACTTTGGTGGAGAGTTGTTCTTAATAAGTCTGTAGATATTTTCAGAATAAACATGTACTTGATGGTTCAAAGAAACACTTCATTTTAAGAAAAATTAAACTGGTGAGTTATTCATCTGACACCAGACCACGTCTCAGCATCCTCTAAAATATTGTAGGCTATCTATTCAAATTCTATTGACAACAGCGTTTTCCTAAGAGAGCTGCTTTAGGCTATCCCTTTTGTATAAACTTTACACCATCCCATTTCCCCCACAGTTTACCCAAAACTCAAGAGGACACTTTAGTGAGACATAAAGAGAAACTGAATGCCACACAAAGTTTATCTTTAGAGTTGCTGAAGACCTTTCTTTTGTCCACTGTCTGCTTCTGAGATTCTGAAAACTACACATGAAAACAGTTCTGTTTCATTTCTTAAGTTGGTTTTACCTTGCCATTACTTGAGAACAGTTTATTCATTTGCAAGCTTACTAGTTCAAGCTGATTCAAGTATCATACTGAAATCATACTTTATATTTGATCATAAATATTATTGTCCACAACAAAAGTTGCCAGAAACCTTCTTTAAAACAGTAATGCTATTAATATATATTTAAACTGCAACTTGAATTCCTTGAAGACCTGCAATTTGCAACTTGAACTTCCATTTCCTTCTTTGTTAAAGATTTTTAAGAGTACAGAAATTTTAGAGAACACATTTGAATTTATTTTGATATATCACACAATTTAGTAATGTAAAGGAGTCTAAATTGTTTTAAAATAAAAGTATTACAATAGCAAACAAATTGTAGAGCAAGAGGCTAAGAGGTGGTGACGAAACAGGGTATGGCACTTTATTTCCAGTGCTCACATTACACTAACATGTTTCAAAATGTTCACCTCAAAAAAATCCTTTTTTAACAGACTTTGAAATGTTTTTAGGAGATCACCTCGACATTTAGGAGCTGTCACATAAATGATATTTGAAGCTTTTGGTATGATGCTAACAATAATGCAATGAATCTTGGAAACAGACTTCAAAGTCAGCAACTAAAGCCCAGAGGACAGCTTCCAGGTGCTAAGTGTGAAAGGCCAGCTGCAGTTAACATGCCCAAGGCACAACACTAATTTCAGTATAAAAAACCGCTTAGTGCTTCAGCTTTCTCACACTCATCAAAGTCACGTCCACGATAGCGGTAGCTTTGCTTATTTTTAAGCCATTAGAAGTCAGCGTGGTTGCTCTGCCACGGAGGGAGGACAGTTTTGTCGACTTTACTCAGTGCCACCCAGCCCGGCTAGGGAAGGACACGACCCACGCCGCGCACGGGAGCGGGACCCCCGCGCTCCACCGAGACCGGCGGCCCGCCCAGGGCTGGGGCACCGCACACGGGGAGAGACCGCACGTCCCCGGGCCCTCTGCTCCGCGAACACCGCCCCGTGCCCAGCCGGGAGACCGCGGACAGCTCCCGGTGCTGAGCCCAGCCGGGAGACAGCGGACAGCTCCCGGTGCTGAGCCGAGTGGCCGTGGACAGCTCCCGGGGCCGGTGCCAGAGCCGGGGCCGCCCCTACGGCCGTGCCCCGCTTCCCCCGGCGCCGGGGCTCACGCTTGGAAAGAGCAGCGGGGCGGGGGCGGGCGGCAGACACGTTGTCGGGGGAAGATGGCGGCGGTGGCAAACCCACCCAGCGAAGCGGTCGGAGCCCAGGCCCCGGCGGTCCCGCTCCGCCCGCCAGGGCCGCCGCCGCCAGCGTGGAGCCCGCCGCGCCCCCGAGACGGGGCTCGGTGCCGCCGGTCCGCCCCCTCCGGCGGCGCCGACCGCCGCCCCGACCCACCCCCGTCCTGCCGGTGGCACACGCCGGGTGAGGACGGCACCTGTGCGGCCATGTTGGGCGCCTGGCCCCGCCGGCGCCGGGACGCGCGGAGCCGCAGCCGCCCCGCGGAGCGCGGCCGAGGCAGGCGGAGAGCCCGGTCCCCTCTCTGCCGCTCCCGCGGGTCCCCCCCGCGCCGTGCCCCACACTCGCCCGGCGCCGAGCACCCCTGCCCGCCCCTGCCCGCCCGGCTCCTCTCTCCCGCCCCGGCCGTGCCGCCCCCCGGGGCCGGGGCAGAGACTTCCGCGGCCGCGGGCCCGGGAGGACGAGGAAGGGATGCGCCCGCCCTTACTTGAGCACGGATTGCTCCTTCTCCTCTTCCTTCTTCTGGCGGTCCATGACGGCCAGGATGATCTTCCGCTCTTCCTCCGTGAGGTGGCTGAGGTCCGGCATCTCGGGCTGCGGGGCCGGAGGAGGCTGAGGAGCGGCGGGGCCGCTCCGGGGCCCGGCGGGAGCCGACATGTTTGGTGGGAGCTGCCGCCGCTACGGGAAGCGCTGCCCGAACTCCGGCAGCACCAGCGGGAGCGGCCGGCGCCGGGAGAAGCACATACAAATCAATACCCTGTAATCAACCGGCAGCCTAATGACGGCCCCGCCGGGGAGGGGCGGGGTGCCCGTCAGCCCCGACCTCGCACCCACCCGCCCGGCCGCCGGCGGCAGCGGGGGGACGGGGACGGAGGGGCCCCGGGGGGCGAGCAGGGGGAGTGGGGAGGGGAGAGGGCAGCACCGAGAGAGGAAGGGCCGGGGGCGGGGTAGGGAGGGAGAGAGGAGAGGGCAGGATTAGCGGCGGGAGAGCTGTGGTTTGGGTGCGAGCGAGATTATCCCAGCCCCGAGCGCCCGGCGGGGACAGGGGGGACGGAGCCAGCGGCGGGGGGTCAGGAGACGGGGGCAGCGGCTGCCGGGGGGGGCGAGGCGGGTGCCGTGCGAGAGCGGAGCCCCGGCGCCCCGGGGCGCGCAGCGGGGGAAGCCCCAGCGGGCGAGCGCCAGTCCCGGCCGCCGGCCGCGGCTCATAATTCCTCGCCGCCGTTCATGGAAGGGGCCGCGGGGCGCCGCGCCCGCCTCCCGCCGCCGCCGCCTCCCGCCGCCGCTCCTCGGCCGGGCCGCGCCGCTTCCTGCCGCCGCCTCGCTTGGCTGGTGCCCTCTCGGCTGCGGGATGGAGTCCGCCTAACCCATGGCATGGCGGAGAGCCGGAGTCACGGGAGGGGGCTCCGCATCGCCCCGCCGCCTCCCCCGCCTGAGCCGAGCGGCGCGGGGCGATGCGGGGCCCGGCTGCCGCCCCTAGCGGCGCCGCGCGGGCTGGCGGCGGGGGGCGGCGGGCGGCAGCTGCCCTTATTTATTTATTTATCCCTGCACGAAAAATGGACGCGATAAAAATCACGCGAGGAAGGACAAGGAGGAGCCAAGGCGCCGGCGACGCGCTGGGAGGACCGAGCTCGGTGGCTGCGGGGGGGCGAGGGGGAGGGCGGGGAGATACTGCGCGGCCGCCGCTCCCGCCGCCGGCGCTGCCCGCGGGGCGGGCCCAGAGTGGCACCCGCTCGGCGGGGCCCAGCCCCGAGAGCAGCCCCGGAGCGAAGGAGCTGGCGGGGGGAGCGCCGGCCCCCTCGAGGAGGAGGAGGAAGCATCGGGAAGGGCGAGGGGGAAGCGGCTCTGTAGGGCGGCAGAGCCCCCATATCCCCGTCCACTCGAAGGCCCGGCGGCGCAGTCCGAACTTCGGGCTGAGCACTGGAGAGCAGCGCCAAGGGGAGCGGCGGGATGGGCGCAGGGCCGGCCTCCCTCCCCCGAGCCGGGAGCGACATCGCTGTTCAGCCGTGCGGGTCCAGCCCAGCAGAGCAGCTGATCCACCATCGCCCACAAACACCCTGCTGGGGTGTCCTTCGGTGTGAAATCTGCCCCAGAGACTGTCTGGACAGATTCCTCTTACCCAGAAGAGCAAGACTGTGGCACCCATGAGAGAAGTCTGGAGAAGCAAGCCCTCCTCTCATGTGGACACCAGGTAGTGGTGGAAGAAAGCTCTCAGATCTCTTTTGCTACTTTCAGTCCCCCACCTGAGCAGTCATTTTGGTGGCAAGAAATTATTTCTGGAAAAAGTATCCTACAGTACCCAAAATGCCATCCAGCCCAAATAAAAGGAAAATACCCTATCCAGGAATGCTGAAGAAACAATTGAATCCGAATCTGTAGGTTTTCAATCTACAAGTGACAGTTCTTGCTGTTCTCTCACAAGATGTAACTCACATCAGTGTTGGTTAACATCTAAACATATGCAGCAATAATAAAGTGGTTTTGTAAGGTTTAGTTTTAACAGTTTAAAATCATACATTACTGCAGCTGGTGCTATTTGTAATGGATCATGACATCGACTTATAACCAGGTGAAAAGGCCTGGGGAAAAAAGTCATCTTCCTGAAACTATCATGGTCCTCATTAGCTGTATTTCCACAGAGAATAAATTCGAGGATGTAGCTCCACTAGCTAACAAGTTCCACATGTAGTATTGGGCTGAAAACCATTCTTTTGGGGAAACAAATTCTGGAGGAACAGATTGCCAAAAGGATAGAGACTGGCTGTGATAAAGCAAGTCTTAACAGTAATCCATACCTATTATCATGCACATATATTAATCGAAATTTAATTTTGTCTAAAAAATGTCATTGGCATCCTTAGCTGAAGGGACCCTGTTCCATTTCTTAATGTAAAAATATGTGTAATAGATCTTTTGTTATTATACATAAACCATTGTGAAGACATTGAGCAAATTATATAGATGCAGATATCCTTGTAAAATAAACTGTATGATTTTTCATTCAGTCCTGAAAGCATTCTGCTCTTTCGGTCCACATCACCTTCACCTTTCAGACTGGATTCCAGCCAGCTGGCTCTCACCGAATTCTTTGTTTCTTCCAGGCACTAGATAAATTTGGCATTGAAGTCAAAAAGAGAAGGAAATGTAGCACCATGTGTCATCAGATTACCAAAGATAGTACAGTCCTTATCAATCTATGAATGTTGAATGGAGGAATTAACGGCACTGACCCCTTTGGGAAACTACATTTTATCCTGAGGAAGTGGAGAAAAAGAGAAATCACTCAATCACTTCTAAGAATGATTAAAAATAACCAGACCACTTGAAAGCAATCTCTCCACCCTGTCAAGTTACACAGTTGGTTCAAAAATATTTCATGCCACGCCTCAACCATAAACACTAACAGTGTTCAGGCTGTAGTTTTGATTGCAAGACATGACTGCAGTCCTATGTGCATTGCTTCATTCATCTGAATTTTTTTCCGATGGACATTTACCTCTGAACTTTCTGGATTTACAGTGACTACTTCTGTAATAATTTCATTGTGCCTATGATTTTTCACCCACAAATTACAAATACTTGCTCTCAGCATGACTGTAGAATTTCAAGAGCTTTCTTTTCTCCCTGGTATTTGTTCTGTTTCTGCTAAATCCTATACCAGTAAGTGAATAACTATAAACAAATAAAGCCAGGGACAGGAACTGTAATCCCTATATTATTTAGCTATTGGCTTTGAAAAGAGAGAGCAGATTCAGAGCAGATGACATCCTCAATGAAAAAATGGTTCAACACAACCTTTCTGTGCTTCTACCTTCCTTTCTCCCAATCATTTCCACCTATCATTCCTCACATTTTTCTGCAAATAAAATCAAACATCATTTGCTCATGTTCCTGTCAGCCTGCACTGAATTGTCTCATGTTGTCACTGTTATTTACATGACCCAGGTGACATATTGATGAAAACATACTCAAAGCACAGACTTCTCTACCTACTCCAGAGTAATGGTGTCAATGATAATCTACAATCAACCAACAATAAAAATCACTATCATGTAGTATGATCATTTACAAAACTGATTTTTAAGGAGCATTCATTTGCAGTTACCTCATCTGTAAATTTTGACCTTCATGTTCACATCCCCAGGTACCTGCTCTTCCTGTTCATCTCAGTTCTCATTCTAAACTCACTACCACACTCTGAAAAAGCAGATTCCCACAACTGCTTTACAATCTTCTGCTGAAATTGTTCTTTGCTGTAAAATCTGCAAATGAAAATTCACTCCAGTTGTATATTAAAAGCACATGATACTTTATTTTGGTGGCTTCTCTAAGTCATCTAAATGTACTGACACCAGCAGAGTTAATAATATAAGTTTTCTGATACCCTTTTTTCAGTCTGTTCCTTTTCAGTTCTGCTAGACATGAGGGGTTCCCAAGGAAACAGTGGCATTGTAACCTGGTTTTATATATCACCACAAAACGTCTTTCACTGAGGGTCTCATTATACTTACTCCCATTTCCTTCCTCATAGCAACTACAAGAGCAAATGAGTTGGTAGATTCAAGCATAATTTAAGCATAATCCTTTCCTGAAAAGGAAATGCTAACATCTGCTTTATTATGTTTTGTATAAGGGAGAAATCCAGTGTAACTAATTATTTATGTTATTTTTGTCACAAGTTGAAACTTGGAAAACATCTTTATGGAAAGGAACTTTAAAGTATTCCAGTATAGATCAGTGAGTGGAGGAAACTAAAGACATATTTTTGGTTGAAAATGTCCAGTACTCAGACTCTCAATCAAATCAGATGTATAACCAGCAAGAAATGTATCCTGTAGGACACTTCCTGTGAGCAGTTTGCAAGGAGCTCTTCAAATTCCCATTGAGGAAGGACAAAACTACACTGCAGGAATTTGTGATTCCCAGGTGCCATCAAACCATCACGGACTGGTTTTCTGGTGCAGTCTTGGATCTGTCCCCGCTTTCTCCTGTCTAACATGAGGAAGCTAATTATATTGTATAATGTCACCTACATTGCCATTTGATTTCTTTCATGAAGGATTTTGCTTACTATGTATGCATTTTTTTTTCTGCCCCAAGTAAATTTCTATTAGTTGGATACTTGCCCACAAGTGATTTGAAGAATGCTAGATATTTATCGGTAGAGGTTAGTTTTCTTCATTTGTTACTCTCATTTCCCATAATAAAGGGTTATCCATAGTATACACAGTATTGACCATAATCCTATGTCAGCTATACTCAATGAAATAGCCCCTCCCAATTTCACTGTCAATGATCTGTCTGCAGTAGACAGAAAAATATGGGTCTCTCAGCTAGAGCCCCCACTTTTTCCTCCTCTCCATGCATATGATCGATATCTTCACATGGTCAGAAGAAGGGAAAAGTTCTTAAATTGTGCTGAAGAGTGTAATTTAATCCTTACCCACTTCCAAACCCTTTTCTGGCTCAGGGAGTACCATTAACAAAAGCCTTTTGGATTAGAAGACTGAGGGCTCACCATGGGTATCATGGTAGCTGCTGAGGGTACGGAGGATGTTCAACCTTATTCCTAAATCAGCTTGGGTGGCAAGAGATTGATTTGCCTTCTTTCAATGGACCAAGGAGCTGGTATCCAGGTTGTATTTCGAAATACAGTATGGGAAAGTCCCTGGCACGTAGGTTTTCTGTAAGCTGAAAACTGAGGAAAAGCTCAGATCAGTTAGATTGTTTTCCAGTTCAAGGCTGAGAGAGTTGGGCTTATTCAGCCTGAAGAAGAGAAGACTCTGGGAGACCTTACCATGACCTTTCAGTACCAAAAGGGGATCTGTAAGAAAGATGGGGAT